GGGGTTGCAGTTATTTTGTTTCTCAGTTTCTGATAAGAATGAGGCAGGAGAGGTTTCTGTGAGAGTCTCTACCTATATATAGCACATATAAAATGAGCTTCACCGGAAGATTACGAGCTAGCTTATCTTTATCCGGAAGTTCTAAATAGGGCTCCGTGCATATGGTCAACTGATTCCCATTCCAGTGTTCTGGACATACACAAGCAATGTTATTTGCCACCAACACAAATTCACCACTAGCAGTCAGAATCAAGATACTCGTTCCTGGTTTCTATCATTCATAACATGCCTTATGTGAAACTAATTTCTAGAGTGGGTCGTTTATACGTGACCATCAAAACCATATTACCGAACTGTCCCACAGATTGTGTCAGAATTGGTCTGCAAGCTAGTGGGGTACTGCTAACCAAACAGTTTCACTTTTAACACCGCATTACTAAACAAATCAAATCAAATATGCCCCAAGTCGTCTTACAAATGGTTTAAATTTCAATGGATGATTTCGATTTCCATAAAATAAAAGCAAAGGGAACACTAAACAGGCCAAAATCAAGTGGAAAAACAGTAAATATATTATTAAACCATTTATAAACTGAGGACCGTCAGATACTACATATCACTGCAGATGCTAATATTTCCAAATAAAATCTGAAATGCAGCTTGAAACATACGCCATTTCAACAAGTGTCTTTTTTTAAATTTCCATATTGAACTATCTAAAGCGTGACTGACCACTGGTTTCAGTGGAAGTGCACAACCCGTGGTAGTGCTGAGGTGAAACAGGTAAGAGTGTTAAAGTACAAGATACAGTAGGTGTATATGGTTATCTAAATGCTTTTAATATCCCTGCAATTACTTTTTAGTCTCAGACTTACCTGTGATGAAATGCATGTCCTTACTTTTAATTTATTCATTCATTTATTTTCCATTAACTATTACTTTAAGATTATGTTTGTATAAAATGACACTAGTCATACTTTTCTACAGCAGAAACTGCACATTATGGAAGGCCAAGACAAACAAACTAAGGAACAGGGTTTCTCCCCAAATATCTTTCTTTTCTTGTCCAAAAGCTGCACTGTGAAAAGACTAAATGATTTTTTTATTTTTTTTTCATAAACAGCTCTTCATTAATCATGGGTTTGATCTTTACTGGAGGAATTCTGGCATGGAGTGATAAAGAATGGAGATGTGTAAAAAGGTCATTTTCTTTGTTGAAGGAGCGTGAGGTCTAGTTCTCTCCTCCCTCGCCTCCTTCTCCCTCATCTGGTGCGTTGTCAGATGTCCATAACTGGTGGAAGAGGAGAATATGACATGGTCAGAACACATTCAGTATTATTTTAGTGTTAATTATACACTATTATAGTTTTTATTAATATTTTCAACTAGCCAAACTTTTTAGATTTTCAGTTTTCATTATAAATTTAATGTCTACCTTTAATCACATTTCTAAATATTTTTATTTCTGTTGGAAATTGTATTATTTTAGTTAGCTTTTCATCTGAGCTATGTTTAAATTAACAAAAATGTTTCTAATAGTTTGTTAATGATAACAACACTGAAAACAATGGCCATTTTCTCCTTGACTGATCTCTTAAATTGCATCTCTCTGTTTTGACAGTACATCACACCACTATATCAAACCATAACTGGTCATCTTTGCCCTCAAAAATCGAATCACCTGTGAGAAAAAGAAATTTCTCTGCCGTTACTTACTGTGAGGTTGTCTCTCAGTAGCTGCATGATAAGAGTGCTGTCTTTGTAAGACTCTTCATTCAGCGTGTCAAGCTCTGCTATGGCCTCATCAAATGCCTAAATTTGTACAAAAACACATTCGTAAAAAATGTAAAGTTTATATATCATGAAATTCAAGATATACTGCAAGCATGATCATTTAAAATGTACCTGTTTAGCAAGGGCGCAGGCCTTTTCTGGAGAGTTAAGGATCTCGTAGAAAAAGACAGAAAAGTTGAGGGCCAGACCCAGACGTATGGGGTGTGTGGGCTGCATCTCTGTCTTGCTTATTTCTAATGCTTTCTCATAAGCATCCTGAGAGTTCTCTATGGTTGCTGTAAAAAAAATAAAAAATACTTGGTTAGGCTCGCAATTCATATCGGGTACAAAAATGTAGAAGAAGCACTCAATAATGTGGTGAAGTTTCAGGCCAGTGCTGATTTTACTAAATCTTGCATTCGCTGATGTTGTACATGCATTTATTTGTCTTGCCATTTTTTTTTTGCTAAACTGTTGTTGAAAATTGTGATTTAAATATTACATTATCTAGCTTGCTAACATAAATGAGAATGTCGAAAATGCAAGAAAAACTTGAGAATCATTTTGAATGGGTTCATAGTCATTAATCAGTGTAATATTTGAAATATTTTGCATCTTCATCAGCAAAATTGCAATTATGATGAATTCAAGTAGTTACATTAGCTTTATAATTTCTACCTTTTGTAACAAATAAAAACATATTAAAACAAACAATATATAAATATAAATACTACAATAAATATAAATATTGTTATGCAAATATTATACATGTTTAAAATTTAACTTACACATATAAATACTAAGAAGAAAGCAAAAAACTAGAATAAATATTAAATTTAAAAATAAATACAATAAATACTTCTATCAATATTATAAATACTTGCACAAAAAATGTTAGCTAATATGTGACCCTGGACCACAGAACCAGTCATTAGGGTCAATTTTTTTGAATTGACTTTACTTTGAATTGAAGATTTATACACCATCTCAAAGCTGAATAAATAAGCTTTGCATTGATGTATGGTTTGTTAGGATAGGACAATATTTGGCCGAGAAACCATTTGAAAATCTGGAATCTGAGGGTGCAAAAAAAACAAAATATTGAGAAAATCGCCTTTAAAGTTGTCCAAATGAAGTGCTTAGCAATGCATATTACTAATAAAAAATTAAGTTTTGATATATTTACGGTAGGAAATTTACATCATGGAACATGATCTTTAATTATTAATATCCTAATG